GCACCTGTCTGAGACAGAAGAGCTCTCCTTGTGATGAAGGTAAGAAATGGCTTTCAGGCCTCTCTTTATAATTGAAGCGGAGCTTTCCGTAGGTGGGGTAAAAAGTAGTGTGTTGCTGCTGTCTTTGCTAATTGAAAACTACAGGAGCTCCCCCTTGTGTTACCATGAGATGGGAGAATATGGCTACAGCTTCCTTGCCAAGGGCCCAAGTGAAACCCGTGCTCCTATGCCCTTGCTCACACCTACAGATGAAGCTGTTCTGGAGCTGCCTTGGCTCAGCCTGTCACTCCACACAGCAGCAGCGCTGGCAGCAGCAGGAGCTTCCTGGTAAGGCCAGGGCAGCTCTGCCCACAAGACACATTCTTGTGATCTCCAGGAAGGAAAAACACCTTTCTAACTGCTTGTGTGCCCCAATAGTGACTGCGCACACTGATCATCTCCAGTTAGGAAGTCTTAAGCTCCTTAGTTTTCTGGCACCAGCTCTTCCAGTGTCACGTGGCTTCCATCATGCTGTGCCAAGAGCCTTGCCTCTACACGCTGAGGGCTGGGAAGCTGCTGCCTTGGGTCCCTCATACTTTGCAGAGAAGGGTTGTGTGGGCATGAAGTGCTGTGGGCGTGCAGATGATGGATTTAGGCATCGCTTGGTACTATAAATCTGGGTACAGTGGGAAGCCTTTGAGTAATGCATACACGAGGCGCGCGGTGCATTCACAGCTAATGAACCTCCAGTGCTCAACAAGCAGCTGGGCGAATCTCAGCCCTTTTTTTCCTGCCGCACTTCAGCTGCCCTTGTTTAACTTGGACAGCAGTGTGGGTTAGCAAAAACTTTGAGGTTTCCATACAGATGTCTTAACCTCTCTGCTATCGTTTCTCATGTAGTATTTCAAAGCCTGTTTCAAATGTACGGTCCGTAGCTGTGCCTGTCTGTCTTGTGAGCCTTCGTACGTTCTGTTGAGAAACTAATTACCTGTGCATGGATGCTTTCCCCTCACTTAAGCTTTCCAAAATGTCCTATGAGCTTCAGCAGCAGGTGCAATGTGTGCTAATGGCACAGCTGGAGATCAATAGCCCATTTGTAGTAATGAAGGGCATCCTGCGACTTTCCAGTCTTGCACTGTCACACGCCAAAACCAATTCCATCAAACGCAGTGAGGATCTGCAGACCTTGCAAGGAGCCTCATGTTTTATGTATGATGGGTGATGGTGAGCATCTGTGACACTTTTATGCTGGGCAGGCATTAAGCCTCTGTAATAGATTGAATGCCACCTTTTCCTGGAGATGGACGGATGTGAAAGAGGTGAGTAATGACGAGTGTCCCAGCTGTCATAAGCAACGTGGTTATGGTCCTATTTAATAACCTATTGGAGTCCTAGGAAAGGAGATTTGTAAGATCTGCAAATGTAATTGAGAGATGGGAGTTATAGAAGGTCCATTTTGTAGTTAGAGCTCAACTTACAGTCAATCTGAGTTGAGACGAGAAATTGACAGGAGACAAACTCTGATGAAGGTAGATATGCACTGGGAATAAAATACATGGATTACAAAAGAACAATCTCCATTCAAACTGTTCTCCAGTTCTCTAATCCCTGTATGTATTCTCATCACTTTGAAGCAGTTTCTCACGCAAACTGAGATTGCAGTTTCTGTAAAGATGAGCTTCAAATTCTGCTGTCACACAACTGGTTTGTGTTCAGAGTTGTTTCTTCACGTCAGGTACACTGAAACTGCCCTGGAAAAGGCAAGTAATGGTAAAAGTTAATATATTCTGAGAACGTTCACAGTCCTTCTAGCTGTGAGGGTTTTATGGTTCCAGATGAGTGAATTATTTAGTAAATGTAAAGGTTATGTTGAGCCTATTTTCAGGAGCAAATATCTTCTTTCTCCACTGGCCCCAACCCCCACAGTTTTGCCTTTCACATTGAGAAAGAAGCAGCTCGCATCTTGGGATGCTAATTTGCTCCGTTTTGGAAAAGATTTTCCCCAGACTGAATTAATTTTACAACAGTTATTTGAATAAAGGAGACAGTCAGGCAAATGGATGCTCAGAGAGACACAGCCCATCAGGATTAACATTTCACAGCAGTTTATGCAGAGCAGTGGGATGCAGAATCAGTGCTGTGGTCTCTTTTTTTCATTATTTCATTAACACAGACATCTTAAATATTTGTGCCCTCTGCTTCCTCCTCAGAACAAGGCAGGGGGAGGCATTCTGTAAAAAAAAATGACTTCATATTTCAGTGCTTTGATTGAGATCATCTCTCTCCAAGGCCGTGGGAGGGGTTCCTCTGTGGATAACGAATGTCTGTGAGCTCAGATGGGATTTTTGCTCCCAGACTGACTGAAGCTGTTTGCTCCTGCACCAAAGGAGGCAGGTGTAAATTGATGGTTTAAACCCAACAGGAGTACAGAGTGACTTTGAGATAAATCATCTTCTGTAGTCAGCCCAGTGCCTGACACCAGGGAACATCCGCAGTGGGGCTTTTCTCCTGCCAGGCAGATCCAGCCTTGACATATGCACCTGTCCCCTAGCACCTGCAGAGGTCAGGGTAGTGGTTCTTTTATTCCTCTTTCTGAAGCTTCTGAATCTGCTCAGCTTCCCAGACGGCTTCCTGATGTAGTAGGAGTGACTCGCTTTGAAGCTGTTACGTTGAAAGTCTGTTTGCCCACAAGAAGTGTGGGTTTGGCCTTTACCTAACACAGATTGTCTGTCCAGAGCCCCAGGCCTAGACTTGTGGTGGGCAGGTTTCCTCTGGTTGATACATTGCCTGCCCTGAGGGGAAGGAAAGCTTCCTCTTCCCTGCTGGAGTCCTCCAAAGAGTATTCGTGGAATTTGTACTCTCCTCTGCTACACTTCCCTCCGTGAAGGTGAGTGGAGAAACTGGCAATCACTGGCCCTCTAATGGCTCTGGCCTCCTTTGTGGGCTCTCTGCTTGGAGTGCGCTTGCTCTCCGTGTCCTGAAAGGATCCAGCTTTAGCAATGGATTGAACTAGATGGTCTCTAGAGGTGCTTTCCAACCCTAATGATTCTGTGAAGGGTAGAAACGAGGTCTCTGCATGGAGAGATGCTTCATCCTGGATGCTTTCCTGCCAAATAGATCTGGAAGGCCCCGTGATCTGTCCTTGTTCTTGAAATCTGGCACATTTGCTCACAGGTCACTGCTGCTTACAACAGAAAACATCATGGGACAACACACAGTGAGCCGAACTACCAGAAATGTGAGCTGAGACTTGAGTCATCCCCAGAGTTCTGCATCTAGAAGGACTATGGGAGCCACCAGTCCCTACAAACGCCACGTCAAATGGAAGGAACTAGGGCACTGGGTCTTTCTTACAGTGTAGGTGAAGCCTCCTAACACAAGAGGCTTGAAAGCTTTCTCATTTCTCACCACCTGCTCTTTGAGAGGAAACGCTGGGGCTGCAGGTTGAGTCTTGAGATAGGGGGCAATCCTTGCAGCCGCGCATGGGAAGGCCAAGACCAATGATTGGTGCAGGAGTGGGAAGTGGAGGGCAGAGGTGAGACTGATAGAGCTGAGCTGCATAGAAAAGGACAGGATTGCTTTGGCAGGAAGATGGATGGAAGCCAAACATCTTTTTTTGAAAGACTTGTGGTTAGTTGTGGCTTTAGCTGGACGCCAGATATCCCTGTAGAAGAATTCAGTTTCTTACAGCGTGCAGTGAAGGCCTGGTTCTGGGCAAAAGCTAGGAATCAAGGCCTCAATTTCATGGCTATCATCATTAATGTGAGTCGCAGCAAGTTTGCAAAAAGTCTTCTGTCTGCTCCACAGTAATGCTATGGAGCCTGTTTACGTTCAGATTATTAAAGAGGTGTTTAAGATACTATATCAGTGTTAAATACTTGCAGTAAAGGCTTGTGCAATCATTTCCTGATCTGAACTGCAATGTTTTATTGTTATGTGAATATTAGCTCAACTACAATACTCTGAGATGTGTGTTCTTGTGAGTATGTGTAGACATACATACATTAAATATATAAAATAAATAAGCTCTATGATGGTTCAAAAGGGCCTCATCTGGACAGTGATTCTGAGCTACATGAAAGTGAAAGATCACAGCCAGGCTCAAAATTGCCTCTTCCCTCCCCACGAACTGACAAATCTTACATACTTCAGCAATAGCTCTTTTTTCTCACCCTCTCATCTGTGAAGTCCAGTGACCTATTTCATCTTCCTCAAAAAAGGACTCTTAAAAGATGTTCTCATATTTTCTTGACCCTGGGGGTATACAATTACTGCTGTTCACTCATGCTTTTCTCGTTTAGATATTGGAAGGATACGTGAATGTTTTGTCATTGTTACAGAATTGCCTTGAAAAGCTCAATGGCAGCCAGCGCGTACCTGACTTGGGCTCTGCTCATCATCAGCTGTAGTCAGCAAGCCAAACCATGCTGCAGAGGCAAGCAGTATCTTCACTAAGAGGATAGCTGACAAATGTGTTGCCTCTTACCGTCTGATCTGTGCTCAGTGGGAGGAAAAATGTAGCAGACCTGGAGCCAGGCCCCAGATGCTGCTTTTGAAGTTAGCTGCAGCTTGCTCCTCTTGGCAGCATTCCTACAGGAGCATGTGATTGCCATGCGATGACCCCATGACTCGAAAGATAAAATATTTCACTGTTCCAAGTGGAACAGGTCACAAGTATAACTCAGGATGCGATTCAGAAAGGCACCTGAGTGTCCTCTGCTTTGTGCCTACCGTGGCTTAAAGCAACAGGATGCATCAACAGGCATGGGATGTGTTCAAGGACTTCTCTGCACAGCTGGCTGCCCATGCAGGCTTTATGTTTAATTCCTTATGCCAAGAGAGAATAAAGGGAGTGGTTATTAACACCAGCTTGGCACCATTACAATTGCAACCTGTTAACAGTGCACTGTTGTTCAGATTTGCTCTGTACAGGGTGGAAATGTTAGAATCAAACACATTTTAAAGGCAGGAGTCTGTCTCAGAGACTGATGCACCAAAAAAAAATAAAACAAAACGCTTTGTTAGAATATCCTTCCAGCATCTATTTTATTACATTTTATTTACATTTGGTGATTTGAGACACACTTCCAGTACCTTCTCAGACAGTGGATTTAGGCACACAAAGTCTAGTACCTGCCCCTAGCTGAAGCTGCTGTTCTCTGGCACAGGCCCACAACTGACTTCACACTAATGTGGCAAGAGCCTGGCTGTTCTGGGAGCTTCCAGAGGTTCTGTGCGTGGGGCGGTCGTTTCTGACGCTTCTGTCCCAAACGCTGCTCTTGGGGCTGTGCTGAGCCGTGGCCATGTGGCTCTGGAAGGCCCGCACAGTTCGAATAGCAAGGATGCAGACCACAAAGCTGGCAAAGTACAAACAGGCCGCAACTACACCAAAGAGGCCGACGGCTGCATCGCCTCCCTGGACCACGCAGTTCATGGAGGTGTAACCACGGCGCGCGTACAGCCTCTCACGCCTCTTGCAAGCTTCCGTGGCGTTCACCTGGGTGACGAAGTGCAAGTAGAGACCAACTGCAATGACGTAGCACACGCCAGCCAGCAGGCTGAAGGCGCATTCACCACCGAGCAGCCCCATCTTGAGGCGGTGGATGGGTTTTGCCCCCACTACGAGGAAGACGAGCGTGAGCGCTGCTGCTGCTAAGCTGAAGGTTACTCCGCCGTAGATGCAGGGGGCTCTCATCTGGGTGATCTGCATGTCCAGCTCCCTCACTTCCTGGAGCTCCGTGCCCTCGAAGGGGCTGTAGGCTGAATTCAGGTTAAAGGATCCGACGCCCAAGCCGCCGACGGAAGTAAACCCTGCAACAGAGGCTTGGGCAGCGCCCACACAAATCAGCACCAGGAGGTTAACGGTGATTTCCACGAACTTCAAAATGCCTGTAAGGAGCAGAAAGGTGGGAAGAGGTATCAGAATCATGTGCAAACTGGGGGTGATAAAAATAGATCCAGAAACAGAACCAGAGAGCAGTATTACTGAGACAATCCTCCTGGCTGTAGCAACACCGGAGTGCTTCTTTGTGGGGAAGAAGGGGGCAAAAAAAAAAAGTGTAAGCTCTCATGGGCACATTTCAGAAGTTGGGCAAATTACTTTTCTAAAAATTTGTCAGCGTGTTTGATAAATGGGACTCCATGAGGGGAAAAATCCATAAAGATTTTACTGTGCTTGTGTTACTGCCAAGGAAAGCGAATAACGATTGCATTTTGGCCTGTAGCTCCTTGGCATAAACAGTCTGAACAAAATGCAGAGGTGAAAGCTGACAAAAACCTACAGTCCTCTGATGGCTTAACAAATCGTGCAAGCTATGTAGGTCCTTAGAAGTTTACTGCTTTAACAGACACGTTTTTGTGTTAAGTGCTAATTCGAACTTCTTACGCATCGCTTCTCTATCTCTTACAGAAATAAAATCTCTTCACAGGTATTAACAAACTGATTGCATAGAAAAAGTGGGGGAAGAGGACAAAAATACCTTATGTATTGAGGTAAGGGAATTTGATAACTTTGTGTATTCTTTCACAGACGCCCAGCTTCAAAAGAAAGCTTTATGACTTCTGAGTTGAATCTTCTTTTCCCTGTGCTATGCTACTGATAAAAGTAACCTAGGAGAAATGGCTTCTTCTAGTAGCTGCCTGTCAGGAAGGGCCAGCAGAGCGTAGATGAATCTGATTATTCTGTGACAGCTCACTAGGGGTCAGACTAAGATTAGTAAACATGACCGATGTTGCAGTGTAGCACAGCTAGAGTTGCCTATTCAGGAAATGAAAACCCAAAGTGTATCACGTGCTGTTCCTCAAGTCCTCAAGCTAATTACTGAACTGTGAGTCTTATTCTGCTGCAGCCTGACAGCCAAGAATGTAAGATGCTTCACAGAGTGGTCCTATGCTTGCCTTTAAAGGGGGGTGGGATCTTCAGCTTGCATACAGACTTTCATTTATGCTATTAGCATTGATCAGCGTGGCATTTTCCTCCTGAGCCATGGCTCCGTTGCTGTCAAGGCTGTATGGGCTTAAAAGAAAGGGCTGAAGCAGCACGAGGAATGATGGATTATTGGGTATTCTTGTTCTGCCCCTTCTTATGCCCTCCCCAGAGGGCTGGGGCAAGAACAACCTTCCTGTTGCTGCTTCCTTTCACTGGAAGGTGCTTGTGGTGGTTTGACAAGGGCCTCTGGCTATGCTAAGTATCAGCTTTTCCTGTACATCCCCTTGCTGAGCTTTAGAAAGGGCAATTTTCTGTTGCTAAGAGTTAGCACCTGCTGCAAATCTCTCCATATTTATAACTCTGTGAAAATAACCCATTCCAATCCTCAGTGCTGCTGTTCCAAAACTTCCTAAGTATTCATACAAGGCCTTACCTTCACTGAGCTGCTGCTGTAGGACTGGCATGATGCATCCCTTTGCAGATGGAATGAAAAATGAAACCAGTGAGGGCTGCTGAATTTTTAATTGCAGTAGTAGGTGCTTTGTGGCATGTGTGAAAAATGTCCTAAAGCAGGCCATTCAGGTTGGGTGGGTTTTATATGTACCTGCATAATTTTCACACATGCCTGTTGTAGAACTGATTGGAGTGGAAGCAAGGAAAAGAGGTTCATTAGCAGCCACTCCAGGAGTTATCTGCAATGTGTGGATTGACTTAAAAACAATAAAACGGGCAGTAACAAGAACTCCTCTGTTAAAGAAAAATCCTAAAATGATGAATGCTACAAAGCTGTGAATTAAAGGTCTGTGATGGCAGCCAGCGGAGTTTTTAAAGTGGACTACTAATGGGAATTCCCAAGGCCTTATGCGATCTTCAATTGGAAATATTAAGCCCTACAGTATGTTCAAATCTTGACCTAGGTGCCCTAAAAGTTTTGTACAACTTTGACCTGTTATCTGTTATAGTTAAAAACTGATACTCAATCTACTACACTATTCCCTAGTCCCATGCAACAGTGAATGTGTTGCAAGACTTGAATCGTAAACAGCAGGAGGCCTGAAAACCATAGACTCATAGAATTGTAAAACTTTACAGGCTTGGATATATTTTTCCTTTCTCAAGGTCAAAACCTTGGGACTAATCTAAAATTAATTATACTGGTTTGTATTATCATACAATCATTAATTTTGGAAAGATCTCTCAGAACATCCAGTCCAATTGCCAACCCACCCCCACCGTGCCCATTCACCGCGTCCCTCAGTGCCACATCCACATTTCTTGAACACTTCCACCACCTCCCTGGGCAGCCTGTGCCACTGCCTCACTGCTCTCTGCGAGAAGGAATTTTTCCTAATATCCAACCTGAGCCTCCCCTCCTGATCGGGCTGAAGGCTGTTATTTCTCATCCTAAAATTAGCACAGTGAATAGCTGATTTTGGGAACGAGCCCCCTCCATACTGAGAAACTACTGAGACTCAAGTCAGGGTTCTTGGACTGCTACTTTCTTTCCTATGCTTCTTTTCCACTCTGCTTTTCAACACTAAAGGTGAGAAGAACTGATGCAATCAGTTCAGGCTGTAGGTGTTTCCAGGAGCTTTGCAGAGGATTGCTTCACTCATTCCATAAAATCCAAATCTGCAATGGATGGTAATTTCAATTTAATTGTTAGCTTTGTTTGAATCCTATCTTTACTGCCATGAGTAGGATGCCTGCTGTATCAAATAGGTTCTCTTCTATCAAATGCAGTTTTTCCATTTATATGATTTATCCATTATTCACTGTTTTCCTTTTTCTCCTGTATTGGGTGCACACTTGGCTGCTGCCATGGCATTAATGCATTGATCAATGGCTTTGTCTTATGCCAAACGGTGAGCTTAAATGCAGCAAAACAAGCAGGCAGGCTGTAAGCATTTAGACCCACAGGCAGCTGACCTTAGTCTAATAGCTCCTGCCCTTGGCTGGGAAGTCATCATGTTCTTCCCCTACCCAGCAATACTCTGGCCAAGCATTAGGTCCTTCCAAGAGCTGTTTTAATAAATTAAAAGAGCAGGAAACGATTCAGCTCCTTTCTTGTGTGCTGCTGTTTTTTCCTGCAACTTTAACAGCTTGAAGTGACTCATAGAGGGTCTGATGAGCAATTGCACTGGCACAAATTTAGCAGGGGAAATAACAGCCAAAGAATAATCAGAAATTCTCCATTTCAGGTGTGGTGAGCTGTTAAACCTGCATACTTTGTCTCATAAACCTATTCTGCATCTGACTGTGTGGTAACCAGTAACTCACAGCTGTTTGAATCTTGTATGTGGTAAGCTGTGAAGAGGCTTTTCCCTCTGTAGCAGAACAATCCCAACATCAGGGTCACTGTGGTTATGTGTATGTGTCCATAAAGTAATAAGGTCAATTCACATTTGTCCCTGTGTTTCTGTAGCTGACAAAAACTCATCTGCAGGACAGTCAGTCCTGGCTGTTTCTGTTGAACTCCCCCTAACCTCACGAGGGCCTGACTAAATAGATGCAGCCTTCAAAGTGTCTCCCTCCACTACATCTTGGCACTTTATATCCCTCTGCTGAATGCTCAGGGACTTCTTCTCCTGACTGACTCTTTTGGTATCGCTCTTTCCTCTCCATTTAACATTCCTGTGTATTTTTCAGGTATTTTACATCTGTTTTCTCCATGTGCCTTTTGGCTTGCTCTCTCCCTCTGCTTCCACTGCAGGCCAGGTGCCACCAGGAACAGCAGTACCCAACCAGCAGCCTCAGAGGTGTCCGGCTGTCCCTCTTGGACACCTCAATCCCAGAGCCAGGGGCGTAGGCCAGGACAGGCTCACACAGGGCAAGCAGGTAGTATGAGGAAACTGTGTCAACACACACAGGTAAGTGGAGCCTGAGCCACATCCCATTAGGGGTCGCTCGAGGAAAAGGGAAGAGAAGAACTACAGGCTGCAGCACACGCAGCAGGAACCATTCACCCAGCCTTTCTCACTGAAAGTTGTTTTGTCTTCCAGTTCGGGTAGCTTTCTGCTTTTCAGAGGTAGTGGTGTGTGTTGTTTTGATTTTTTTCCACAGGAGCAGACAAGTATTTTGACCATATACAGTGACTTACAAAAGCTGCAGTCAGTCCTGAAAAGGATCTCATATGCTGAACTTCTCCTGAAGTGTAGGTGGTGCATTCCACAGAAGGTAAGTACACAGCTCGGTGCACAGCTTTGGTCCCCTCTGGCCTAAATTGGAATGTGATGGGTGGGAGAGGGAGGAAACATCAGAGGAAGAGAGATATTCCCTTTTTGGAAGGAAGGGGACAAAAATGTGATGAGGAGGAAAGAAAACTGGAGGAAAATGAAGAGGAAATGAAACAGAGAAAACAGTCACAACAGACTAAAATACTAAATCTGCAAGCAAAGTATTAAACTATCTTGCTAATGGTATTGCATCCCTTATATAAATACCAGTGCAAAGCAAGATTTACTGAAACTGGTAATGAGAATGAAACCAACTTCACTGATGTAAGTTCAGGGCAATACAGAGCCTTTTCATAAACAAACCTTCCCCATGCCACCACTATCTGTGTAGGTCTCCAGTGTTCTTCAGACACTGGTGGGATTTAGCTTTTTATGAGTTATGCTGAAATCTCCCTGATGTTCAAAGAAGGAATAAAAACAACAACTCTAAAGCAAGAGTTAAGCAATGTGAGACCAACAATTGTTCACTGAATCTTGGCTTTTCAAAGGACCCAAGGGAACCATGTACTCAGAGCCAACTGAAATTTAATGGCACATAAGCACCCAATACGTGTAGGCTCATTTGTTTGAGATATCATCTTACTGGAAATGGAGGGAGAAATAGTTATAAACTGGGAAAATTAAACTATTCATGCACTCCAGAAGAAAGAATAACTATCTTCTAATATGTTGTCTCTCTTTACTAAAGACAGTTTCTCCACTAGGAAATCTCAAAGGATAACTAGCCTTGTTTTCAATGATTCACAGAAGCCCTACAAGCATAACTGGAATGCTCAAACCCAAACATATGGCCTTGTTTTTTCTGTGTGTAATATTCCCTCGAACATCTATTGTCCTACCTGCTCTATCCAGCTGTCACAGAAAAGGGCTTAATTTGCAGAAACATAGTTTCCTGCCACTGTATGAAACTGATTCACTTGCCTTTGAGATAGTGTCAGTGGTTTTTTCCCTGCCTAGAAACAACATTTTTTCCCCTGGTAGTTCCTTAAAGCATCATTTCTAAGCATGTTCTTGATTTGTCTCCTGTTAGCCTAGAATGAACCACCTTCACAACCTTCTAAAAGGAATGCAGAAGGTCACGCATTAAACTGTAGCACTTGGTAATACTGACTTAAATGCAACGTGTGTAAAAGGCTTTAGACATATCTGTAGTTGCTGGTAGGTCTCAGCATGGTGACATGGTGACCTCCTGTTCTGTCTTTTGGGAAGCACTTTTTCTTCCTACTGTACCCATGCTTCCATCAGGTAGTAAAACAAATATCCTGTAACAAACTTGGGCGGTCCAGAAAACAATGAAACGCTCGTTTCTTATGCCAACTTTCTGTAGGCACTCCTTTCATTCAAAGTGAAACATGGCCACCTTTAGAAAGTACAAAGATTGGGGTGTTATTGCTCCTTACGTAACCATAGTCTGGCTGAAGGTAGATCAGGTTGGAGGAACCTGTGGAGCTCCTTAGTCACTTTACAAGCTGTGGGTTGTCATACCTGGTAAGCAGCATTCCTGACTGAGTGGATTTCTCTCCTTTAAGGGAGCTGTAATCGGTTGCTTCCAGAAATACAGCTACATCTCATATAGCATTGCTTTGCTGTATCATCAGTTAGCCTTGAGAGCCACTTTGTGAAAAGAAGAATTTCTCTTGCTTCTAAGAATTTGGGTAAGGTGAAAGGAAGACAAACCCAGTAGCCTTGCAAGAAGGATGGTTGCCAAGCTTGTTTTACATTGGTGCAGACTTAAGAAAGATTTCCCAGCAAGTAACCATGGACCAAAGTCTAACACATACTAAAAGTTAACATGACTTTGCAAGGATCTTGCCTTGCTACCTTAGGTGAAAATTCTCGGTTATAGTTCTCCTCTCTGTAAAAACAATAGTATAAGCAAGCAAAGGAAAAAAAAAAGGTGGATGAAAACAACTGTTATAAAAATGTGGTCAGAGTCAAGCCCCATATCTTGATAGGGCAACTATTTGCTAAAGGTAGAAACTGGTATCTGTAAGTACTGTAACTCCTCTTCATGTTTTTATAGAGCTCAATGGCTATTTGTATTTCACAGCAAACAAGACTTAATTCCAAATGAAATAGTCCTCAGAACAGGAAGGTTACCTGCAGCTCTGCTATGCACTCCATCTATCTTGTAAATGCGCCATTTTCATTAAGCATTTTGAATCATCTAGATTCATTTGTATAGCTCTATCCAATTCCCACTACAAATGTCTTCCTTCTTTCCAATTCCAGGATTAAAAATGTAATGGCAAATTTAATGTGTTAGTCGGCCTGTATTTAAATATATGTTGCAAGAGATAGGAGGGGAATGCTGCCTAAATACAAATGAGACTGCAGGGGAACTCAGTGCTCCATCCTCATAGCAAAAATATGTTGAAATAAATTAACTGTTACAGAAACAGTGTATGACAGCTTTGAGCACAATTTAAAAGAGCTGAGAATGCAGAGGCAAAATGTGAAGATAAAGACTAATCCCACTAGGTGCCTCCCCAGAAACATATGTATCCTATTGACCACGCTGTTGAAAAGATCTATCTTGTACTGCTGAATATACTTCTCTAACACTTATTTTAATCCATAAAATTATCTGCACTGTGTGCATTTAATGACCCTTCAATGTTTTTCAACATATGTAACTGGAGTCACAGAAAGTCTTTTACTTCAATCCAATGCCTCCTGCAAAGCACTACTTCCCTGCCATCAAGAGTTCCACAGCATCAGATGTTAAACGGTGTTCTGCAAAGTGTTTTTCCCTCCTGCTCTCAGGTCAGACTCTCAGAGAAGAGCAGTACCAGGACATAACACTGCAACGTAATGGTATCGGTATAACTGTGATGAGCAATGGCGTAACTCAAAGCGGGTGTCTAACAGTGAGATCCCTCTGCTCAGCGTGACTTTTCACCTCTGTACTTTTTCCAGTCTGAGAGTATTTGCCAGCATCCTTAGCTACAGGAAAAACACGGACTGCTTTGTGAAAACAAAAGCTTATAGATGTTTACATTTGAATTAATGCTGGCTTGTTAATGTACAAGTATATCTTGGAGAAAGTCATTGTTACTCCCTAATTCTATTTCCTCCTCCTAATAAATTTGGTTTGATATTTCCTCCTGGCTCTGTTTGAAGTCAGAGGCTTTTATTGTTGTTACAAATGATAACGCTTTCTTGTTCTGAGAGGAAATCAGTCTGAAGGATTTAACAACTGTGGCTGCTGTAATGCAGGCTTAAGACAGGATAGTTTGGGAGCACCTACTATGTGCTTAAGAAATCAGCCACTATTCATGGCCCCTCTTTAAGCTGTGTTTATGGCAGCAAAGATCAGAGATTCAGTTGTACTTTTACTATTCAGTTATAGATCGCAATTTTTTTTTCTCTAATCTTTTTAAGTGCTATCTCCCTTCCATGCTAATAGGGCTGAAGAATTAAAAAAAAAAAAATGTTAACACTGTAGTTCTAGCTAGCACAGTACAGTTCTATACAAGGCAAAATGCGAGCTTTTTCTGAGTCTGCTACTGACTGAGGATGGGAGAAATTTGGTTTACCTTCACCATTTCAGCAAAACTAGCAGCAGCATGACCCTATAGCTGCATCACTCCACCTCTTTCACATCAGTATATGTAATATAATTAAGAGCTTTTGAGGAAAAGTGATCAAATATTCACAACCAACATAAGATCAGAAGTTCCCTCCTGAGTTTGGTGCAGATTTTGTTCTCTCTAACATAAAGGAAGCAGCATGGTAGCCAGACTCAAACGCTTCTCGTGTTCCCTCTGATAACCAAAAGGGATGAATTTGACAAAGTAATCATTATTACTAATTTAATTTTCCTAAGCAGAAGATAGAACTACAGAAATTAAATCTGCACCAACAGTGAAAAACAAGTTGGATGCGTTTTTCTGAAAGAATTTCAGCACTAAGAAATTCAAGGCCAAAAACTGTGTTGTTTTAAGTAGCATACACTATTGTGCTTCAGCTGTAAGAAATGGTTATTCCAAGCACTAGTTCCTCAAGCTGGTGAATGGCTTGTCTTTATCAAGAGTAGTTTATTTCCAATTCTCATGTAATCATATAGAATATCTACACAGCTTGACACCATTCTATGCACTGTTGTGTAATACAGAAGCAGAAGGTGGCCAACTTCTTTGTTTTTATTGTCTTTTTAATCTGTGATCTGCAGATTCCCAGGTGTGATTTTCCTATCAATTATAAACATAGAAATGACACATAAAGCTAGTGGAGCAAGGGAGAGTCAAAAGTTTCGTAGAGGGAAGTGGTTCAAAAGAATCAGGAGATACAAGAAGAAAGGCAATCCAAGCTGTAGTGTATCTGATTTTCCAAAAAAGCTCGTGGTAAAGCCTCCAGCCAAAAGCTCTTAAAGGACACAAGCTCCCATGAGATGAAAGGAAAGATCGTCTCACAGATTTGTAGTGGTTAAAAGGAAATAAAAAGGAATGCCTGGTTTTCAAACAGATGGAGTTAAGAAGAAATCTTAGTTCTGTGCTGCCTGTCACGAGTTACACCGCTATTAGCAGTGGAATGTGAGTGTGTCCCTAGAATGAAACAGGTGGAGACTGTACAAAGGTACGAAACACAACAGCAGTGCATACTGGTCTGCAGTTCAGGAAATTCCACGAATCTGAAGTGAACAACCCAGAGGACGGCTTGCTCTTTACTGGTCCAAACTGCTACATTCCTCCCAGACTTGCACTCTAGTATATAATTTGGGAGGATGCATAATCTTTATACAATCTGGTGCTGCTACCCAGGTGATCCTACCTAGACAACTTTGAATGAGTATTATGGGGATTGCTCACAGAATTTTTAAACAGTTTTTTTTTTTTTTTTTCTTCTGTTTTTAAGCTGAAAGGACTAAAATGGAGCAGAATGGTTTGAAGTCTCTTCAGATGCTATCAAATGCTCCCGATAGCAAAGGATGTTAGAATCAGTTGTCAGTTGTCTCTTCCACTGTATTCAGGTTGGGTTTCTTTACTTAATGCAGTTGTAGGAAAAAAAAAGTGTGGGAGGGGATTAGAGAGGGAAGGAGGCAATAAGAATAATTTCTTTTTTTTTTTTTTTTTCAGCTACAGCTTGCAGCTAAGGTGCTAGAAGGATAACTGGTTTCATACCAGCCTGTTTGTGAAACCTCAACTTCAGTTTTTTGGGATATTGCAGGTGAGGAGCACAGTGGCTGAAGTAAATATTGCTTGGAGCTCTTGGTTGTCCACGGTTCCTCTATAGTTCGACAAACCAGTCAACTTGTACAAAAAGCATATGGGTAGTTGCTGGGCAAAAGGAAAAGTAAGATATGTAGTGAAAGGAGAACGAAGCACGCTCAGGGGCTAAGGCTCACATTTCAGTTGTTGCTTTGGAAAAGACTGTGGTAAATGGCTCCATTTCCCATCCTTGTTTGACACTACTTTGTTTTGAAATTACGGCAATCGGGAAGGGGGATTTCACCAGACTGCTGATAAACCATTGGCAAAAGAAAGAGAGAGTTAAAAAGCATTTCCAGGAAGTTTTCGATGCTGTAAGAAGCTGTAGCTCACATGCACTGACTTCCTTTCAAAAAGTTCATGTTAGGTTTTCGTTTATAACATTTGGTATCTGATTGCAGGGAACAGAGAATTCTAAGAAAACAATTCTAAGAAATTGCACCCAAATTTTTTGTACTTTCAGAAGTTCAATGAGTAGTCGAATTCTCATGATTTTACCAACCTCCAATTTCTTTTCATTTTTTTGAAATTAAGCTGCCAATAATGGGGTTTGTTTTCTATTTGATTTCTTTTCCCTCCTCCAGTGTAAGCTCAGCCATTAAACTTTTGGAAAATACTGAGCAATACCTGGGGGAGGGGTGGGAGTGAAATCATCATTGTCAACTGATGCATCCAAATCTGGGATATTTTGAAGATGTTAATGATGCTTGATGCACTGAAATAATGAGAAGCAAATGGGAGAAAAAAAAAAAAAAAAGCATGTCACTCTAAGCTATTCATAAGCCTGATCAGCTTCTGACCAAAAACTGTGCACCTCAGCTTTCCACTTAGACTGCAGTGAGCCTTTCCAAAAAACAAAGAGGGAAAACTTTAAAGCAGAAATGTGTATTTTAGCTGCATTTTCTTTCAATTTACGGGATTTGCTAAGCGTTAAGGCTGATTTACCCCCACATTAATGTTCATTTCTTGAACGTTTCTTGTTGTGCCCATTTTCTAGCGATGAAAAAATCAGTTATTTCTGAAGAGCTGGTTTACTGGATTGGATTTGATGGATTACATGTCCTTAAAATAGTTCTGCCTCACATGCTGTTACTTTATAAAGATGCATCAGTGATGACTGGATTAAATACAGAGTTGATAGTGTGAGAAGAACATGTTGGGATAACCCAGCATCAAAGCTTCCACAGCAGTATTCAGATTGCCTACTCCCAAATCCCAAAGCTTACCTCTTGTTGCACAACACATCACCTGTGCTGACACTGTGGCTGCGTACTCTGAACACACATCTTCAAGAATCTGTGATACTCTGTACATTTTGCTTTTTAGATTCTTCCAATTACTAATTTACAATTACTAACCTGCAGCCACGTCATTCATGAATTTCAGGTTCATATTTTATGTGTTCCCCTGGATTTACTTTGTTGTGCTTCTGATCACAGACAGAGAAACCTAGAACAGCCTTGGGAGGGGGAGGAGTGGGTGGCAGGCAGTAAGAATTGCACGTACCTCTTGTTGTGCATACCTTTGAACACTTCATGGACAAGGTTTCCTTGGTGGGGTAATACTGTGGTGGTGAGTCAAAACACTCCTGTGATGCTGCTGAAGCTTTAGAGTACGGCTCTGAGCAAATGGTGGAAGCCCTTGAGTGCTGGCCACCACGGGTATCTTTTGCTGGCCTGCAGTGGAGTAAATGGGTAATATACAGCAATTAGATCATGCTGCAATGACATACAGGCTCCCTTAAGCCTAATGAATGTTTAAGGTTGGTGAGATTTTACATTATTCTGCGTGAAAAGTGTAACTGGCTCTTATTTAAAATGAGTTAACGCTCAGCTTAAAAGAAATGGTAAATTGTTTTATAAATGCTTGGTCTAATCTAAACGTTCTCCTTCATTTAAAGGAGACTTTGAACTTGACTTTTCAAGGTACAGCTGGATGATGCTAAATTAGTAAGAGGCATTTAAAGTCTCATTCCATATTTTCTTTTTTATGTCTTCCTATTTGATTACTATCTTGAATTTCTTATCCACATATCAGCACTTTCAGCTGCAGTTTTGTTTCCTAGCATCGTTGCACTATGGTTTATCTTCATCCAATTCCAGATTTAACTTAAAAATATTATCTTATGCATTCACACTAAATCATGTTCATTGTAGTTTTTTACATTTTAATTGAGACCTTCAATAACAAGACTCATGCTAACAACTCCACGTGTAGTTGCCAACAGCTCTTTTTGGCTGAAACATTCCTGATTTTTCTGACCTTTGTCCTGGGTCTTGTGCAACCACCAAGGCATCCTGCACAGCTGTGTCACATAAATTAAATAAGCTATGTGATTTATAAGACTTCCAGTTAACTTGAAAGCAATCCCTTTGGTACTTCTGATGCAGCTGCTTCTCTCTATTGTATCTTGCTACTTGCCAGAAAACAAAACAAGCAAAACAAAATAAAAAAAAGAAACCCTCCCCTAATGTTCAGTATCTGAGTACAATTAGGAAAAAAAAAAAAAAAAAAGCCCAAAGACAAAAAACCAACGACTTTCTTCTAGATGCTTTTTCCCCCTCAAAATGGGCCTCTTCTGGCTGCCCTTGCTCCTGTTTTCCTTCAGGACTTTCCAGCTCAGGGTGATGCAACTCTTCCTCAGCAATGAGAGAAAGCTTAGTATAGAAGTTTCAGACACAAACGCATTGTGAAAGACATACTTTGGCTAGATAGTTTTGGCTCACAAGGGATGAGAGCATTAGGCACCCAAATTACAGTTTCTACAATACTCTTCCCATCTCTTCAATTATGGGATCTGGAGATCTTTGGGTCAATAAATCTAAGATTTCACCAAAATACTGTAATTTCCTTACAAAATCAGTTATTCTTTTCAAGATCAGTAAGCAGGGGAAATGTTGTTAAGTTAAGCCAAACTGCATAAAAAAAAAAAAAAAGATGAAAAGTAATTTTGATTAGTTGCAGTGAAGGCTGGTTGTTGTCAGCTTCTTGGTTGATTCCAAGAACCACCTCCGTGGCTGTTACAGATCTGTAGCTGCAGTTTCCCTTCCTCTAATCCTCGGTGTATATGGGGATGGTTGTTAGCCCTTACAGTCCTTCCACCATTTGCCAGTTTGTCCTGCCATTTATAAGTAACAGCAAAAGCAAGAAGTCCAGAAAAGAGCCTTACTAAGAAGAGGCGGTTCAACTTACTGCTATCCTTGCACATGTTGTAAGATAATTTAACTACATTCGCTCCTGATCTGTGCTCTCACTAAGAGCAATCATTCAGCATCTAAAGATGATTTTTAGGCTGATTTCTATTCCCATTTCTCTCATTTCTTTTTCATGAATTAAAAGAGACAGAAGAAAAAAAAAATACAGTGAGTATATTTTGTAATAGGATTATCATCCGCATCTTTTATTCTCAGCTGGAAGTACTCTTTCTAGTCCATACAAGCGCTCTCCACTGCTGCTTTTATTCTCATCCCATTTTTTCTTGCTTATGTGTGTATTATCAGGGTAGATTTCAGTGGTTCAGCTTTAAAAGAACCTTTATTATACCTATCTCCTCCTTGCTCTTTGATTCTACTATTACCTTACAACCATGCTTCCAAAGGCTAAGCAGGTCTGAAGAACACCTTACTGTCCCAACTCATTTGCTAATGTTTACAACTGCAGATTCCTACAAAGCAGCCAGCAGCATGCCCTCAAATAAAAACAGCCTAAGATCAGTTCTAATATGCTCTAGGCTATCCAGGCTGAAAGGAGGAGTATAATAATATCCTGAGAACTGATTTGTCACTCCATCTCTTCTGCTCGCTTATTTACTTATTGCAGTGATAGTGGCTGGCCTGCTCTGATGTGCCACAAACTACCTGAGGCACTTAAATAAGTACATTTATTGACTGCAATTATTTAAACTGATTTTGTTTTGGATTACCATTAACTTGTTCAAAGCTGAATCAAGCAGCATATTCAGTAAGTCCCTTTGCTGGTACATATAATAATACAGTGTGTACTGGCAAGCCTTGACTTATTGTCACCTGTTGACCAAACAATCCCTTAAGCAGCTGTACAAAGAGCCATAGCCATACTTTAACTACTTGTGATCTGGCTTTATCCAGACAACCCTATGAAATACACAGATCTGCCTCTTTCTGCTGTCTCTTAGCCTGCAGCTACCCCGGAGTTCAATAGAAAGATTAAAAACTGTTTAAAATTTCAAAGTGTAAAATAGTTTCCTGATTCTTAATGTGTAATTCTCATGCTCCATGATTTCAGGTAAACGCTTTCTTTACTACTGTAGTGTGAATGTATTTAAAAGCAAACAAACGAAAGGACAAACATAGCAGACTTGCTGTGATATGCTCCTTTAAGGTGATAAAACGTACCTTCCATTGTATGGGCTTGGTTTTCTTGTTTTTCTGTCTTCCTCATATCCATCAGATCCACGATTCTCATGGTACCCACCTTGCTTATCTCGGTATCGCCTCCCAGCATGAGCCATCTTGTCTCTTACATGTACTCTTTCTTTCAAAAATAACTTCCTGCACCAGAGGAAAAAAACTGATTCATTTTACTGCTCCACTCAAAGTTATTCATTGACCAGCGCCAACAGAATGCATCCATTGCACGCTGACTCCAGACATAGTAAAGACTTCCTTAAGAAAAGTAGGAAGTAAACTTTCTTAAACTACAAGTAACTTCAGTAAAGTCTATTTCTCTACCTTTTCCTATTGATCAAGCAGGACATTTTCTATATTCAACACTTTTTACACTGAACTTATTTATAAGATCCACTCTTGCTCTCCCACTTCTGCTGCAAGGACAAGGCGTGTTGGCCATATAGAGAAACAATCACAGAATCGTTTGAGTTGGAAGGGACCCGTAAAGGCCATCTAGTCCAACTCCCCTGCAGTGAACAGGGACACCTATGGTGAGGTCAGGTTGCTCAGAGCCTGTCCTGCCTGACCTGAATGTCTCTACCGATGGACGAGGGAAAGAGGGCAGCATCCTTTAACTCTCTCGGAAAGGGAAACCCGTTGCAGTCCTTCACTAACCTAGTTGTAAAAATCTTCCTTATATCCAATCTAAACATCCCCTCTCTCAGTTTGAAGCCGTTTCCCCTTGTCCTACCACAACAGAGCCTGCTGAAGGCTGTCTATTTGAGCCCAACGCTGTGAGAGGTCACCTCGCACAGCACGAGCGCCTCCGCACCCCTCAGCCCCGGCTGCCAGCCCCAGCAGCAGCACAGCAGCACCCACGGTCGATGTGGTTTCGACTGGTCGAGCTCAGGCCTCGCATAATGACTTCCCTTCAGTCTCCTGTGGGTGCCATTAGGGAAAGAAGTCGATTTTTCTTTCCGGCTAACAAAGAGACTCTCCTCGGCTCGGCTCCTCTGTTTGGAGCAGAGGGCTCTTCGTAAGGCGGCGAAGACCCCAGAACGCGGCGACACGAGGCCCAGCCCGTGCTCCCCCCCGCCTCTCACCTGAGGGCAGCGCGGAGCTCCGGCTTTCGGCCAGCCCGGGTCCGCCCTCCACATACCGCCGCTCCTCCCGCCGCGGGGAGGCGGCCCCTGGCGCGGGGCAGCAGCTGCGCCATGCCCGCCCGGAGCTGCCCGGCCTGAGGCTGCGGCGCTGCTGCCGGCCCGTCCGGCCCGGGCACGGGGAAGAGCGAAACCTCGGGGCCCTGGGGCGGCCCTGGCGTTGTTTACTTTGATAAACGGAGACCTCCGTTCTCCTTGTGGAAAGCGGGGGCCCTGGGAGGGTATAGAACTGGAAGGTCAATAAAATGAGAATTCAAGCCCCCTCCCCACCCCAGCAGCTGCCTTTTTAAAATTACTTTTGTTGCTTTTAAAGCCAGCTTCCTCGCCATGCAGTGCTTGGGGTTGGAAGGCCTGCGCTGGTCCAGGTGGATGGCAACAGGCTGTTGGAAGGCTGTGGCACTTGTTGGTGACTTGAAGGAGGAGGCGGCCGCTTCATTCCCTCAGGTGTAAAGCTGCTTGGTAGATAACTGGCCGTGCAAACACAGCGTACAGTCTGTTTTTGTGGTGCTCTGCTCAAAGGCCTTTCTCTGCTGAAACAACGTGTGGCTGCTCTGGGGCTCTGTCTCCGCACTGGCAGCCTGCGATGCTTCCCCACAGGAACGCTGTGCTGCTCCTCCGGATGCCCGCTGTCCGCAGGCTTTGAAAAACACAAAACTTTGCAAACACAAAGCCTTTTTGGTAGGGGATATCTCCATTTGTGTAGAGAGCCGTGGGCAGACCCATGGGCTGGTGCTGCTGCATACTGGATGCTCATTGTGCAGTCCCACAGAGAGAGCTAGAACAGTAGGACGGTGGGGGCTCACGTGGCACGGTGCCCAGCTAATCTGCAGCTTTGGAAAGTTTCCTGAGGCCCATGGTGCAAGGCAGAGCCCTGAGAAGAGCTGGGACAAGAAAAAATCCCTGGCTCTCCAAAGGCTTATACAGCAACACACTTGGGGTACCAGTGTTTCTTGAACTTGGGTTTAAGATGTGCAGCTGTTACAGTGCAGCCCTATTGTAGGGCTAAATGCAAAATCCCCTTTAAGTAATTTGTGGGTATCAGAGGAACTGCTGCCCTTGGAATGAGGAGATGGCTATGGGAACTGAGTACTTGGACATGCGTTTTATAAATTGCTGGAACACAGTAAGGCTATGATTTCCTGCTCCAGTTGAACTGTGTTAACAGCTTATTCTGCTGTTTACCATTCCCATCTCTCCTAGACCTCTTTTACTGTTCCTGTTTTTAGCCATACAGTTTGTCTTCTCTTTGTCTTGCACCAACTCTGGTGCTCACTTGATCACATAGTAAGCCAATTCAGCTTGCTTTCCAGCCAAAACCAATTTACTTTCTGCTGTTTTAGTGAGATGAATTGGCTTTGTGCTGCAATCAAATGTGTGCTGGAACAAGGACTTGGCAAAAGCATGTCTCAGAGGGAAGAAACTGGGGGAGGGATGTGGGGAGAAGGCTACCTCTCTTGGCAGTGGTGAGTGCTTAATGGAACTGAAGCTTTAATGTGGAAATACAGTTTAAGATGCTACTGCCTACCATCAGTTCCTTCACAGAATCATAAACCCATTTGGATTGGAAGGGACCCATAAAGGCCATCTAGTCCAACGCCACTGCAATGAACAGGGATACCTACTGTGACATAATGTTGCTCAGAGCCCTGTTCAGCCAGACCTTGAATATTTCCAGGGATGGGCATCTACCACCTCTTTGGGCAGTCTGTTTCAGTGCTTTGCTACTGTTACTGGAAAAACCTTTTATCATATATCTAGTCTAAATCTCTCCTCTTTTAGTTTGGAACAATTTCCCCTCATCCTATTACAATAGACCTTGCTAAGGGGTCTGTCACTTCTTATAGCCTCCCTTTATATACTGAAAGGCTGCTATTGGGTCTCCCCAGAGCTGAACAGCCCCAGTTTTCTCAGCCTGACCTTATCTGGCAGTTGTTCCATCCATTGGGTCATTTTGATCACCCTCCTCTGGATGTGCTCCAGCAGGTCAGTTTCTCTTCTTTTACTGAGAACTCCATGTATGCATTCAGTACTCCAGGAGAGGTCTCACCAATGCAAAGTAGAGGGACAGGATTGCTCCCCTTGCTCTGCTGACCATGTTTCTTTTGATGCAGTTCAGGATACAGTAGGCTTTCTGGGCTGTGAGGGCACATTGCTGGCTCATGTCCTGCTTGCTATCCACCAGTACTCCGAAGTTCTTTTTGGCTGTGCTCTATCCTTAAACACCCCAAATTGTAATGAAAGAAGGATTTGCCATGACTCCGGTGCAAGACTTCCTACTTGCTTTGTTGAATCTCATGAAGTTCTCCTGTGCTCACTGCTCCAGCATGTCTGGGTCCCTCTGGATGGCATAACGTCCCCCAAGCATGTCTACTGCATCCAGGCTGGATGTGGCTCTGGGCAGCTTGGTCTGGTGGTTGGCAACCCTGCACATAACAGAGGGGTTGAAACTAGATGATCATTGTGGTCCTTTTCAACCCAGGCCATTCTATGATTCTATGATACTGCACCTCACAGCTTGGTGTCATCCACAAACTTGCTAAGGGTGCATTTGATGTCATTGATGAAGACACTAAAGAACATCTGTTGCAATACTGGCTCCTGAAGGACACCATTCATCACTGATCTCTGTGTGGACATTGAGCCATTAACCACTACTTTCTGGGTACGATCTCACAACCAGTTCCTTGACCATCAAATAGTCCAGCCATCAAATCCGTATCTTTCCAATTTAGAGAGAAGGATGTTGCAGGGGATTGTGTCAAAGGCCTTCCTGAAGTCCAGATGGTTTACATCAGTGGCTTTTTCATTATGCACTGATGCAGTTACACCATCATAGAAGACCACTAGGCTGGTCAGGCAGGATTTGCCCTTGGTAAAGCTGTGCTGGTTGACTTGTATCGGCTCCCTCCCTTCCATGTGCTTCCAGGATGGTCTATTCCATGAACTTTCATGATCGTCCCTGGCACAGAGGTGAGGCTGACAAGTCGACAGTTCACTGGGTCATCCTTTCTACCCTTCTTAAAAATGAATGTGACACTGCATTTTTCCAGTTACCAGGGACTTCACTTGACCCATATGATGAACAAAACACTTTCTCAGTTTGAGGCTGTGATTTTGGTAACAAAGACAGTTTAATAGCAGGAGTGCTTTACTCCTTCTAAGTCTCTAATTAAAGGTAGTGTGGGATAGTTTGCCAGATTTCATGCTGAAGATGATTAGGGTACTTATATTAATTCTGTTCTCCCATCTGTATAACAGAAAACTTTGGAAAATCCATTCTTAATTTACATCTGGCAAGAGATGCCTGCTCTGCTCTTGACACAAGGAATACAAGGGATGTCTGCTCTAGATACAAGGAATATTGACTCCCCTTACATAGGCAAGGTTTGTACAAGCAGTGACTGCTTCTCCCTTGGTAGCAGAAAATAAGCTAGATGGAGGGTAAAAATAAATATATATATAATAACCACAGAAAGACTTGGTTGGAAATTGACTTCTTTCTGGTGTGGAAGAAGGGGTTGAAATATGAAAGAATCTTGGCAGCGAACCTCTACAGTTTAACAAGTGGTTTTGATAAAGTACTTCTTTTTTTTGGGCTAAAAGGAGTTAGGGTGTTGCCATTTTTGTTTGATGGAAGACTGTGTGGAGCTGAAGGGATGTGATTATGGACTGGATAAAATTCAGTGAAGCTGACAGCCAAGGTAAGAAAGAGTTTAAAAAGTGGATAAGGTCATTATGGGACCAAGTTGCTGAAATGACAGAGCCAAAATCCACCCAAAATTACGTGCTGAGATCTACTTTCAGATCTTAAATGTATAACCAAAGGGATTTTCCCTGAGAAAATATGAAGTGAATACAAATTGTTGAGATAATAGTGGAGCTATCTGTATACGACGTAAGAACCCACTAAACAACCCACAGTAAATGAAGCTGGTTTGGACGAAATAAGCAGAGTAGGAATATGTTTCTGAAGTGAACAAAAAATAAATAGAAAGCTCGTGGAAGGATTGAATACAGTACTGGCTGAATTTAGATGAGAAGCATCAAGGAAAAGAAAGTTTTCATTGTTTCTTCTTAACTTGTTGCAGGAAAAACGCCCTCTTGTATGTAAAGAAACAATTTTGTATCAAGGATGTACCTGACTGTGCCATCAGTTTCTCCTTTTAATAGAAATAGCTTTTGTGGATGAATTTTGGCTGACTGCTGAGTCCAGAGGGAGTAATTTAGAGAAAATGAAGTGTGAAACATTTTGATTTTTTCCTAGTGATTTACTGTAGTAGGTAACATCTGTGTCTTGGATCAACGCAGTTCTGGATACTTGTTCAAAAAAAAAGAGAGAAAAAAAAGAAAAAAATCCAACCAGTCCACCCAAGAAAACCATCCAGTAACAACAACCCTGAATACCAAGGTAGATGTAAGGTATAAGGTGCCACAACCAGGTCTCCAGGGGTAGATTTTTCCAGCTAGACAGTGGGGCACCCCATTGGAGTCTGTTCAGTCTGACGGGAACGCTAAGCTCCTGAGATCAGCAGGACTAAAAGTAGCTTCAGAAATTGTTTTCCTACCCTCTCAGTGTTGCTTTCACACTAAATCTGTTGTTTGTTGTTATAAACAAGAAGAAAAGAATTTGGGTTGAAGGCTTTCTTTTGTTGCTTTTTCTTCCTTAAAATGATTTTGAAATCTCTAGTCTTTTGGATGGAGGTAAAGTGAATTTTGAAACAAAGTAATTTGTTACGTGTCGGTCAATTTCTTCTGTTGTAGAGGGAAGAAGAAACAGCGCAACACCAAGTACTGCTTCAGCAAAAGGAGTCCTTACTGTATGCTATATAGATCCCTCTTTTTAGAGCATTGCAAACTACTATTAGGCTTCTTTTGTTTCTGTGTAAGGTAGCCTATGACTTGTTTGCTTAGTGGTTGCTTTTTTT